CTCGATTTTTTACTATGCAAATCAATTTCCATTTATAATTGAAAAATGTAGCCCATATCAAGATTTACCCAAATATAGCAAAAATCCATTTTTCGTTTTTGGGGTAGTTTCTGACTTTTCTACTGCAAAGGCCCCATATTGTTAAATGATTAAAAAATATAATAGTAAGATATTGATTCCTTAAAATTGAAGATGGTGAACTTTATTTTTATTAACAATTACTTTTAAACATATTAATAAGGTTTAAATCTAATTATAAAATTAGACCAAATAGCATTTACTATGAAAAATTCTTATCTTTATATTTAAACTTTTAACTAATATATATAATCAGACTATAATTTACGAATAATATCTTTAAACAATTAATTTATATTAATGTTAGATTATTATTTTTATTAAGAACTCAGCATTCTACTACCCTTTCTAATATCATTTGAACTTAAATAAATCACTAAAATTCTTTCTTGCATCTATCTAGAAACTGTCATACTTGGATTTTCTTATAATTAATATCATATATTATTAACCATCGATATGTATTTAGATAAAAGTAGTAATGGTATTTCTAGGTAGCCATACTTTTTATAACTAGATCTACAAATACTAGTAAATCATATATTATTAAAATAATATTAAATAATTTTATCTGAAAATAATAGACTTATCTTTTATTAACTTTGACTGGAGTAGCAGTACAAAATATAGGAGGTACAACTATTCATTCAAAATTATAAATCACTTTCATATAAAAAAATTTTCATATTTGTGTTTATATAAATAATGAACTAAGATCATCTGTAATAAAAGTAGAAACTATAATTATTGAAAAAATCTCTATGGTCTCTGCTGAACTTCTTGACTTTATTTTAAATATATTTGCTAATCTTCATAGTAATACTTTAATATTTGGCAGAATAAATGTTATACAGTAGGAGATTTGCTCAAATACATTCAGTCACTAGTTAATCTTATTTCATATTTCAGTCTAAAAATTATTTATTTATTATTCTTAAAAATCTCACAATGTTAAAATAGTGATAAAGAATTTATTACATATTAGAAGAAATATATATGAATAATCTTTCATAGGAAATATGAAATAAATTTCAATAATGTTACTTATAATTTTTAACTCAAATACCACTTGATATATTATTAAACACTACTTATATTATAAGTTTTAAAGCAAATGCTGATTTGATTAATAGAATAATATGTAACTCTCTTTTTGTTTAAGAAGATAAATTTTAATTTTATAAGTTATAGACTTTATAAATGCTAAACAATAGATTTTCTCACAATCAAATCAAATATTTAAATAAAAAATAAACCTACCATCATATGTCCACTTATAACCAACTGTATGTATTATGTTTCTCAATAATTCTCTTATTAATTATAGTATATGCAATAATACAATAAATATAATTATAGATACAAACCTTTTAGATGAATAGATACGAATTGTTTTTTCTGTAAAAGGATCAATCATTGATATAAATATTTATAAATAAACTCATTATTTTGAAACTTATAGATATAATTGCTGCTGTATACAATTTTCTTTATAAAATTGCTTTGCACTTACTGTTTATAAAACTTAAGGACTAATTTTACCAAAAACATACATAACCTTAGATGAAAATATCTTTTATTCAGATTAAGTATATATTGCACTTAGCAGATGTTTCTCCTGAAATAATATAAAAATATCTCATCTTGATATATTAGCCTTTAAAACTGATTAAGATATGATTCTAGAATATCAAAGATTAGAAAATATTTCTCAAACTAGATCACATATATTTTCTTAATCAAAAACATCACTTTTAAATAAAATTTAATTCTTATTTAAACTATAATTAATTAATAATTTTAAAAATTACAAACAAACAAAATAAATTAAACTAATATAAAAAAAAAAATATCATTCCCAAAAAAAATCATATTATAACTATAATATACTTTATACTTATCAAAAAAAAAATACTGACTAGTTTAAAGAATAAAATCTCGGTTATTTTTTACCCTTTATATGTTTTTGAATAATATATAAATATTTATAAAGTGATTTTTAACTAAAGGTTTAATGTTTAATTTATAAAATTAGACTTTATTACATTATAATACTTTTAATAGTGTGATATTATTAAATATAATATTAATTATTTTATTCTTGTTTACTTGATGATTTCTTATAAAGTCTTATAGCATTTTTTATGAATTCTTTTTCTTGCAAATACCTAAAAAATGATAAATAATTATAGTTAATTATGGAAAGAAAAAAATTATTAACAAATAAATAATAGGAATAGTTACGTTATTCCAGCAACAAGAATGGCACAAACACCGCCAATTGCAATATGTTTAATCTTTGCGTCCAAGGTTTCCCAACCAATAAATTGATTAGAAAAGTAAGTTATAATCCATGCCAAACCAAATGATATTAATACTAAAGGTTTGGGTAATAAATTTGATACAGATAACATTCTTTTCAATTCATCCATCTCCTGTTTATTACCACCACGATCTTTTAAAAAATATGATTTAATAAAATTCCAACTCCATACAATACGTGTTGATAAATTAAACATATTAGCTGCAATTAATCCAACAGCACCGGCAGATAATCCTTTCATAAATATGATACCAGCTCCAACAAATCCTGCTGAAAATGCAATCAACCAGTAATTTAAAACACTTAATGTTTCTTCCGTTGCAACTGCTGCTACAAATGCTTCAGTTATTCCATTAATACCCATAATTGGAACATATATACAATAAATTGATAATGCAAATGGTGCAAGTGATTTTGACCATACAGGACCTACAAACAAGTCAATTAAAGTTCCTGTATAATTTGTTGCCAATCCAATAAAGAGAAGTCCAAGTAAAAGATGAAACTTCATCAATACTAATAGAACTTGTAAAGAGGTTGTTAATACTATTTTACGAGCTGCAGCTTTTGATTCTCTTTTTTCAATATTGTTATCAATATCATTAGGATTATCAACAATCGTTAAGAGTTTGGAGAATAGTGTACGACCAGTTTCTTCTAATGGTTGAAAGAATATTCGTACAATCAATGATCCTAAACATAAAACAAAATAATTTGAATACTTTTTTTTATTTAAAAAAAAAAAAATAAATAAAAATAAATAATAAAAAGTTTTGTAATTGAATTTTTTTTACTTGCCGTAATTAACAACAAATGCATAAATTCCTTGGTCAGCTGATTCACTAAGCCACGCAATTAACATTTTATCACCTTCCGTTAAAACATGTTTCAACAAAGATTGTTTTGTAAATGTTTTTGCCAAACCAAATAAATGTTCATCAAACCAGAATACCCCTTGCCTTTAAATATGAAACGTATTATTAGTAAAAGGTTAAAATAAGTTTTAAAAAGCAGGAATTAAAAATCACCTTTCATCTTTTAATTTTCGTGGTTTTAGTAATTGAATATCCCAATTTGAAATAAAATACCCAACATAACCTATCAGTAAAACCAACATAAAAGCGAACTGAGCAACTGCAAATGCCAAAATTCCATAAGCATTCTTTCCTTTTTCATTATTTTTTGGAATTCCCATTAGTGTCATTGTGAGTGTGATAACGCAACGAACAACAACTCCAACCATTTCACAACGTACTCTAAGAGTGAAGATCAGATTATTCATTGTTGCAATATACAATGGTTCAATGATCAATTCACCAAATGCTGCTAAACCATATAATACTACAGAAATAACATAATATGGTGTGGCTAATGATTCCTCTGTCGCATAAAAGATATAAAAAACGCAAGCAAGAAATGTTGTGATAATTCCAATTGGGATTGGTACATATGATAAATTTGTTATTTTTTGAATAGACCCAGCAGGAGAATTGCCAAATATTATCGAATCCTTTGATTTTCCTTGTAAATTTTCATCATGATCAACTTCACTGACATCACCACTTCCTCTTAACAGAGCACAACGAAATCCTTCACGGGATAAAAACAAGATTGTTGCTAACAATAATTCTAATTGTACAGATGCAATTCCAAATGTTGCAGGGTCTGTATAACGTAAAACAATTTGATGCAAAACAAAAGTAGCCAATCTACTGATAAGTTGTAGCATAACAAGTGATGAAGCCCCTGCTACAGATGATGATAAAATTTTAGATACATCTCCTTGTGATTCTGATTGTGATTTATTTTCAATTATTTTGTTATCTTTTTCATTAGAATTTTCTTTGACATGCCTACTCTTTATGGTTGACATTTTTTTTTATTTTTTATTTATTTATTTTTTAAAGAAAAAAAAAGTTTCGAACTTTTTATAACAAATTTTTTTAACCATATTCGCAAAATTACGTCAATTATATTAATTACATCATATGCATCGATCAACTAATAATTTTAATTTTGTACCACAAACTTTTTCGGAAAGTTGTTCGTCAATATGAAGTCAAGAAGATTCGTCAGTAATCTTTAATTTTGTAAGCGAGTATTATTTGGAAAAAGGTTGGCGTTTGACGAGGATTGAAAAAATTAAACTTTACTTGGAAGATAACCATTAATGATTATAGTATTTATCTCGAGATTGAAGATTTTTAATTTCATCTCACTTGTATTAGGATTTACGATTTTAATTCCTTGTATATCTAAAATGATCATGTGCCAATTATTTCAGTATTTTTGATGATCGAAACTCAAAATATTGTAACACGAAATTAAAGTTTTTTTAACCCTTAACCTAATTTATCTTCGCAAAATTTAACTGTCACAAAGGTACCTCCATAGTAAATTATTATTCTCTGGTTTATCAAACAATAAACTTGTCAGAATTTCAATTTATTAAACGTAAACGAGTTATCGAAAACATGGCTAATTCAATACGCTTATTTTTATTATTATGTTTGATCATTATTAACGTTAATTCTTATAGAATTATTAAGTACGAAGATGAAACGGATGCGGCTATTATTTCTAGAACTCTTGTAAAAGAATTTGGTATTGGCACATTGGTTACTATCATGAATGATCACGAAGATGATGATGTTCGAGGTACGTTAAAAAAACGATAAAGCTATGTTTACGAGAAATAAATTCTTTCTTTATACAAATTTATCATTTATAATTTATCAAGGATATCCTTTTGGATTGTTGGATTATTTCTCTGATGATTGTCCTTCAACAGGAAATCCATTACTTCTTTTAAGTGACTATCAGGTATAATAATATATCTTTTTTTTCAATTTAAAAGCAAAAAACAAAAATTATGTTAAAATAACGTGTTATAATTTTTTAGAAAAATATTAAAAATGCTAGATCAAATGAATGGAAAGCTTCCTTAATGATTCGTAAGCTTAGCAAGGACGATACTTTTTTTCCCGTTGCTGAACCAAGAATTAATTTATTTGGTCATTTGGAAAGAGTACCTGATGATGAAGTATATATCTTTTGATTTCCAATTATTCTCATTAATCTACAAACATTTTAATTGAAAATTTTTGTTTATAGGTTGCAGATGCACAAAAATGCTTTTTAGCAAAGCATCCAAGGGCCCGTTTTTGGTAAATATTCATTTTATATTTTGCTTTTTTTCCTTACCAAAGCCAAGTATAGAATTCATTTGTTATATTTTTAGGATCCCTGGTGTAGGTCACGAATTCTATTTCTATAGATTTATCGTACACAATATTTATTTTGTTGGTGGATTTGGTAATAAACATTATATCGGTTATATTAATGATGAATTATATCACAAAGTTAAACCCGAAAGCAATCATCATACTCATCATTGTGGTAGGAAAGTTGAGAAAGATTATAGTTTGGTGAATATGCAATATTATTAAATATTATTAAATAGTGGTTCATCGTTTTAATTTCTCGTCACGTGGTTTAACTCCGGCCTGAGAATTTCAAATATATATATAAATATATATAAGTTTAAATATAATAAAAATTAAAAAAAAATTTTAAAAAAAAAAAGACTTCTTTCCTAATTACGTCCAAGTAATCTTTTTTTTATGATATTATTACTATCAAAGTTTAACTTATTCAATCCTTTGTTCCTTCTTTATAACCGAGTGTTTAAGTAATTGTCCTTTTGACGCGAAGGAAATGCGTTTTTACGTGTTTATTTCATTTATCTCCCTTTGATTTTTTTTTTTTTTTTGACTTCTTTAAAAATGATTGACGAAATTATTGTATACTGCCTGGAGGAAATTGCAATGGAAGGAGGTTCGTGTTCGTAAAAGTTTATTTACTTGTTAAAACTATTATTTATATTCATAATAATTTGATAATTCTTTTCTCGGAAAAAAGGCTGTGAAATCGATTATTTATGGATATTTGTACAAGATTTTCTTAATAAACGGTGTAATGAATTGGTGGCATTTGATGAACCAGAGATAATAAAACCGACGATTGATGATGCATATAAAGAGTTCTTTTGGTCACAATTCTCAACTAGTGAGCAATTGTTATTTTGTATCCAAAAAAAAGTTACGTTGGAACAAAATCTAGAGACTCCGAAAAAGGGAAAAAAGAATGCGACTTCAACATCTAAACCAGTAAATAGTTTCTTTTTTTCATGATCAAGGTCTTTATTTATTTATCTTGCATTATATGATGAAAATTATCGTTTTAATATATGAATAGACAGAAGAAGAACAATATCAGACTGTTAAAATTGACAATAGCATGTCTCTTCAAAGAATTAAAACAATATATGGTGATGGATTTCGTATAATGACGACAGAGAAATTCCAAAAAGAAATACTTTTTGCAACAGTTGACGTATGTATATAAAATAATTCTTATTATTATAAATTTCACAGTACATATGAAAACATTATAATTTTTATAGACTTCTCGCTCACTTTCCAATCAAGTTTGGAAGACACTGCAGTACATAGCAAGGCATCGTTCTATGGGTGCTACGCAAGTAGATATGGCGAGACACTTTAATATCGAACCCAAGTCTTTCTCACATTATTTAAAAACCCTTTGTAACTTAAAATTAATGTAGGAGAATTCGTTGTAATTGTTTTTATAATTTTAAAAATTAATTTAAATATCATATTATTTTTGTAGAGTAAAATTAAAGGTTACTCAGAATGGGATACAGACAAATTTGTGCATCTTGTCTAGATGCGCTGCTCAAAATAAAGCGTATGTCGGAAAATCTGTATATATACCCACAGCATCCAACTTACAATCTGAAGATCCTGACTTTACGGATGCAATTGGTGGTGACGTTTCCTTCAATTCTGAATTGGTGAAGATCAGATTGACCGAGATTCTTAGTAAAGCTAAGAATCAGATCATGTCCGCAAACGATATAAGGATGGCTTTAGTAGGTTATAGATTGTTAAATTACTGCGATTATATATTAAGACCATATTTAACTTTTAATTTTTATCTAGTTTGCGATATCGAATCCAACAAAGAATCAACGACGCTGGTTTAATAACAGGATTGATGATTTAACGCAACATGGATACGTCGAGAAAGTGAACGTTCCAAAAAAATCCATGGATGGACGAATGGAACGATGTTTCAGGCTTGTTAAGATGTATATGAAAGGCAGTAACAACAATAATGGTAGGTTTTATTCATATTTTGAAATTTAATTGGTTTTATTATCTTTTCTTATTAATGAAAATTATTAGACAAACGTAGAAATAAATCCTCCATTGTAAATACACCAGAATCCGTGACATCTCCTGCAGAATCTAATGAAAAGCCACTACAATCTGGTATTTTTGTCGACTTGCCTCTAGATTATCAAGTGTATCGTTTAATCCAAATGTCTGGTGAACGAGGATTAACTGCTGGAGTACGTCTCAATTATTGTCATCAATTTTAATTATTCTTATTATTTTTCATATTTCTCATTTAGTTTGCGTTATCTTATTTGATTTAAGGATCTTCAATGTTTGCTTCGTAATATAAATGATCGTGTCCTAAACAAGTCTTTAACGGGGCTTATCATTGATTTGCCTCCTGGATTAAAGCGGTTTATTATTAAACGTGCTGTTGAGTGTAAAGGACGAGAGCGACACTATCGTTATTTTTCGAGCGAAAGTTACATGAAATTTGCCGCATCACATGGTTTAAATTTAGAGGACATAAATCAGGATAATCCTGATGATGATCAAAAGTCAGAGTATACACATGACCCTCTATGGGGAATCGAACTATTACAAGATGGTGAAGAAAAAAACGACGATTTCTTAGCTAGTTTGAGTACTAGAGAAAGACGTAGAAGAAAGAAAAATCGAGAAAGAGGAATAATTGAACCACCTAAATTGATTGCAACCGTACGAAAGAAAAGAGGACGACCGAGAAAGTATGGTTCTGATGGAGAATTAATTACCAAAAACGAGGCTCAAAAAGGTGTTAACGAAAAGCAAATAGTAAACGAGACTTCTCATGATACAAAGAAGCGCGGTCGTCCACGAATGACTAAAAATAGACCTGGAAAGAAGGTAAAGGTCGAAGAATCTGAGTCATTGGATGACAAGTCAAATTTAGCACAAGAACAATTATCCACTCTGATTACTGATGAAACGTCTGAAGACGTCGAACCAACATATAACCAAAGGGTACCTAACCTTATAATTCCAGTATCTGACGTTGAAGGTAACATAGATATCGGTGACCCTATTCCAGGCGAAGAGTCTTCAAGAAATGTTGTATTACAGTCTAAAGGGAATAGTATCAAAGTACGGATTGATGATCCCAACATTTCAGATATTTATGGCTCGATTCTAGATTCAAACTCCTCTAATAAGGATGTTACTTTGGATGATAAAGTTGACATGATGGAAATTGATGTCAATTCAGTAATTCAAAATGAAAATTTACAAAAATTTAACAATTTATCCATCAAACAACAAAATATTAATTCGGGTGCTATAGAATCTGTCCGTGTGTATAATCAAGAATCAAATATTGAAAATTTAGTCCGACAGTTACAATATGATGAATCAAGATCTGACAATAATGCTTTCGAGACAAATTTGGAATCACCTACCGGCTCTGTCTCAACAAGGGTTATTGAAAGTTCATATGAAAAAACCTTACAGAATGTTAAGAAAATACCTAAACCTAAAAAAAAAGTCGCCCCTGTAGTTTCTATCACTGCATCATTTCGAGAAAAGATTATAGAAAAGCTCTTGGAGGAATATAAAGTTCTAGAATGTGGTGCAATGCTTATTGGTGTGTATCAAGATAAGGTTCGAGAATATTATAATGGTACGACTCCACATACAATTGATAAGAAGACTTTAGCTCGCACTGGAAACGCGATGGAAAGGAAAGGACTTTTACGACAATACAATGTGGTATTGCCATCTTTGAACGGTAAAGATCAAGTTAAACTTTTATTCCTTCATCCTGATTTGGAACCCGGTGATCCCAAGGTGAAGGAATATGTCACTAAATTACAAGACAAAGCTTTACTTGTTGGTAGATCTTATAGGGCCTCTAAAATTGAGGAGATAGATATTGAAGTAGAGCCGCTTTCGGAGCTACAGAAACGTATGGCTGCTGAGGCAGCTGCTAATAATTCTGTAAATCCTCTAAGCACTTCACTTACTTCAATTCCACAACAAACCATCTATGATAAGCTTATGTCCTCAATGCCAACAATGGATTCGGTTAATTCAAATGTTGAAAATCAGCCTAATATCAATGAGAAATTACCTAACGACATGTGTTGGTTACATTGCGCTCGTGGGTATGGCTGGATCAATGCTAAGATGATTCGAGCAAAAATCTTGCATCAATATTTTTTCAACAAAATCAATGACGCAAGCCCAGATGATCCTTGTATTATGAAAGAAAGTAGAATTTTCCAGACTGCAATTCTTCTCAGGGATCTTCCCCTTGATTTATATCTTAAGCTTGTTGGACAATTTTCACCGAGTACCAAATTGTCTGAATATATAAAATCAGGAGAAAGTATGTTGCGTAGCGTCATTAATCTCCCATGTGACCTTAGGTTGGAAATCTTTACCGGAAATTATAAATTCCGACAGAACCTTAAAAGGTTGATTGACATTCTCGTGGCATTAAAGTTAATTAAAAAACTTAAACGTACATTTGATGAAAGAGGAAATCCAATTTTAAATCTTAAAAGGGCCTTTATTCCGGATGACGTAGTTGAAGTTGATTCAACAAGAACAACGGTATACGATAGTCAACCACAAAATCTTTTAGCGCCTGCATATCAACTTATGCGTGATGTTCCAATGATGGACTTTTCGGTTCCCGGACCGGATAGACCTATTATTAGAGAGTATATGCTTGATACTATCGAGGATGTTTCGGTTTATTGGAGTGAGTTACAATACGTAGCTCAGAAAAAATTTTCCGAATCAACGTATAAGAGTGAAGAAGAAAATGTTAATTCGGATTCGGATCAAGTGGATAGTGAGGAAGAGAATATGCCTGTGCGCAGAAAGAAAAGAGCCTCTAATGGTAACGATGATCCTTTACGATTCATAACTATCGCACGTAATTGGAATTCTGGTTTTCCACTTAATGGCAAGCAAAAAAAGCAGCTTGAGCTCTATGTTGATCGAAGAAAATCACAGACTCCTTACGAAGATGAGAATAAATGTAGACAGATTGCTCAAGAGATTGGTCTTCCGTTTCAAAAAGTTCGTGTATACTTTAAGAGAATTGAAGATAGTTTTGAAGTAAAAAGCAAAGAGGTTAACGTAGCTAAGCAGAAGGAAAGACGTCGCAAAGTTGCCGAAAGATCGAAAAATTTTGCGGGGGTCGTTTCTTCTGCCAAGGGAGAACCTTCTTTCAAGAGAAAGAAAAAAGAAAATATGGTTCACAAAGTGTTAAGGAAAACACAGAATGAATCTGAAGGGAGTCTCGGTAATAATTCTGGACGTAAAAGTAATCGTGTAAAGTTCAAGCAAAAGGAAATGGAAAAAATTCATGGTATTGCTGAAGAGGAGAACCTGCCAGTTATCAATGATGAAGGTATGGAATTTATTATATATTTATCTTTAGTTGATCAATTAATTGTTATCTACAATTCGTCAATTATTATTAGAGAGGTTTGAGACTCAATATGAACAATATTCCCAGCGACAACGTCCAATATGGAGTAAAGAAGAAGATGAATTGCTTTTCTACTCTTATATTATTATCAAACATCGTTCAACCAAATTTAGGTTCTTTTGGAGTCCTGTTACCAAAGTTTTACCACACAAATCCAGAGAGATGTGCCGGCGTAGATTTAATGTATTGACGAAAAATTCAGCTTTTCAAGCTCGAGTTTCTAATTACTTGTCGTTTTGGAAAGATATTTATACTGATGCGATAAAGAAAGGCGACTTAAAGGAGGAGGAAGAAAAACAAATGAAAGATTTTGATATACTTGGGCAAATGGAATACTTTAAGAGGACTGTGGAAGAAAAGCCAAAGTAATTATCCCTTTTAAAGTATTGACTTGGTTTTTAAAAAAAAATTAGGAATTGTTATTAGTAATACATACATTTAAAAAAATTTTTATAGCGTTACACGTCCCAGGCCTATAATTCCTCTTCCTCAAGATGTTATAACATTACAAAAGCACTTTTTTGTAACTTATGCCTCACCAAATAAACATAATCGGGACTTATACTTTGAAGATAAACTTGGTGGATGTTCATTAAGACAAAAGATGAAAAAATTGTATGCGTATTCTCTTACACACAGGATTCCATATAATAATGTCGATTATGCGGTAATGGAGCTTAACAATGAAAAACATATTAAACTTGAATGTATTCAAGCATTGATCAAGGTATCGTCATTTTCCGTTTTACATGCTTCATTTTCATCTATTAAATTTATTAATAAACCTGATTAAATAATAGATGATTCTCATGACACCAGAAGATCAGTATGATCCTACACATGCGTTTTCGATCCTAAATCGTTATGAACCTTATGTCAAAGAGGCAATTGATTTAGTTAAAGAGACAGGTGCTATAGTTAAAGTTAAAGGAGGGAATGATAGAAGAATCCCCGGAAGGGGATTTCATGTTTCTGACAAGTAAATTTTATCATTTGGATGTTTATTAGATTAATATAATTCAAATTTCACTAACAACCGATTGTATTTAGATTCCTATCGGTTATTTCAGGGAAATTGCCAGATAGAATGTTTTCACAAGCTGTTAATTTTTACAAGAAATTTAAAGAGGCCACGATATTTGATCAATTTGCAAATAGTGGAGATATGGCTTGTATTTTGGATTTATTATCTGCTGGAATGGTAATGAATTCTCTTTTCAATGTGAATTTTTTTTTGATTATACCTAAGAATCAATTAATAATATGCATCATTCATTTTAGGTTGCATTATCATTTGCCAATCCAGATGCAACCATTCTTACAAAGAATATAGTGCCAAGCCATCGTAGTAGAAAAATTGGTTAGCATCAATGGTTAATTTTTTTACTTTATTTTTCTCATTAATTAAACTAAAATTATTTTTAGACGTCGTAAATCTTAACTTTGACATTTTGTTGACGCCGGAGATTAACAACTCGAATATATACAGTGAGTCAAGCAATGATGAATCTGACAAAAATAATGAGTCATCTTATGGCATTCGTGGTCAAAAAAGAAAACGCGAAGATAATACGACACGAGAAGAAAGCACCTCGACTTTCAAAAAAGGACGCTTTGACAAAAAGCCTTATATAAACACGCGAAAAGAAGCTTCTAAAGCACTTAAAAAGCTGTTGGAAGATTTAGATCAAGAATTTAAAGGTGACGTAAAAGATGTTTATTATATAATTGAGAATCGTGGGAAAGTTGGTATACCCCTTGTTTCATTGAAGGTAATGATATTTTTTTTTTATATTAAGAGAATGATTATATATATTATATAAATTTTAAGTATTAACATTAACATTTATTTTTAGAATTATCCAAAATTATCGGAAGAGAAGTTACTGCGTTGTGTTAATATACTGGAATTTAATGTTCCAAGTTTAATAATGAAAGTTGGTTATAGTAATAGTCGATATATCTCAGGCATTTACTTGAAAGATTGGTTGGTAAATACGACGCCTACCGTCAAGAGGCCGCCTACAATAGATGATGTTTTCATGGAAGAGAATCCTTCTAATTACAAAGTATGGTCATCAGTCGAATCATTTGGGCCACCAAGAATGTGGTATGATATCAATGGGAACTTTATTGAATCTGTGTTCCGAGGGTGTCTTGAAGCCGTATTGGGATTAATTTTGCAAAAGCCTGGAATATGTGAGGTAAAATGTCATTTATATCTTGCGTGGTATATGGTATATAAAGATCAATTAATAAATTTGATTCAATTTAGGCTAACATTTATCGAAAACTCTCATTGGTTATGTCACGATGTGAAGTTCAAGATGTTTTGGAAGAATTGTTAGATCGTAAAGGTATCAGAAAAAAATCATATATTCAACCTTCCAAAGTTACATTGTTTTCAAAACCAGCCGAATTTAAGGAATGTGGTAAGTTCAATTTTAAATATTGATGATACCTTAAGAACGATGATGATTGATTAATCCATTCATTCTCTTTATAGACATCAATTCTCTTGATTCCAATAAGATCACTTATTATTGGACAAATCAAAACTATTACTTAAAATGCGTTCCTGAAATCATTAATTAATTTGAGCATAGCATGTTAAAATTATTTAGCAATCATTAATCAATAATAACTAAAATATAAATTATAAAATTGTTTCATACGAGATTGACAAATCATTATATCGATAAACCGTCATCTCTAATGGTTAATAACTTTCGTTAGGTTTGTTTCGTATCCTTGCTTTATCAGTGTTGGAAGTGATATTGAGCAATTATCATAGGAAGATCTTTAAACAAAAGTTTATGTCTTCCATTTTTGATAAATAAATAATATCTATAAATATCTATTGTATCATATTTCAATTCAATCACTGAGCTTGTTAGCAATCATTAATCATTAATATAATAAAATGTAAATGATAAAATTGTTTCATAAGAGATTGACAAATCATTATATCTCTAATAATTAATAACTTTTCGTTAGAAACCAATTATCATAGGAAGATCTTAAAATTGTATGCTCCGTTATGGTTAAAGGCTATTTAAACAAATATAAAATGTTCAAAAAAAAAAATTTCTTTTCAGTTATATTCTACCACTTTAACTCTCCCCCCCCCCCCCAAAAAATGAACCAAATTGTATTATTTGGTGATTCTCTTACCCAGGTTTCTTTTTTTCTTTTTCTTTTGTGTAAAAAAAAAAAATCTCATGATTTTTTAGTACTAAACATAATAAATAAAAATTTGTTTACAAATATGATTTAGTTTAGCCATAATACGGATAATAAAGGATGGGGTGCCGCACTTCAGAATTTATATGTCAGAAAATTGGATGTTTTAAATAGAGGCTTTGCAGGTAATTTTCATCTAATTCATAAATCGAAATCTCATTCCTTTAGATTTTAAATACAAAATTCATTTATTATTTCATTTAGGTTATAACACCGAACAGGGCAAACTGTTACTGTCTCATATATTGCCGAAGAAAAACCATTCGATAAAAAGCCCAAAAATATATTTATTAACTATATTTTTTGGAGCGAATGATGCAGCCATTCCACCATCAAATCAATTTGTTCCCCTTGATAAATATAAGGAAAATCTTAAACAACTGATCAAAACCGTTAAAGATTCCGATTCACCTTATTATTCTCCTGATACAAGAATTTTACTTATATCTCCACCTCCATTATATGAAGAAGATTGGGAGAAATATCAAAAATTAATAGACCGGAAAGTACCTAGGAGATTAGAAAATACTGCTAAATATGCTCAAACTTGTGTTGATTTAGCTACCGAACTAAATATTCCCGTTTTAAATGCATGGAAATTGTTTATGGATAAAGTAACCTCATCGACTGAAAATAATCACGCCTTAAGTGAGTTCTTCGTTGATGGTTTACATCTATCCGCTCTAGGAAATGAAGTAAGTAAAAGTATTTTCAAAAATAATTTTATATTCGTGTATCTTGTTATTAAAATATTAAAATTTATTTTCAGACTTTATTTCATGGATTGTTGGATACGATTCGAATGAACTGGCCGGAATTGGATCCCGAGAATTTGAAAAGTATTACACCTTTATGGGAGGATTTGGTTCACAATGATCCTAAAGTATTCGATTCTTTTGAATCGAATATCATCAATCAACTAGAATAAATAATAAAAAAAAATAAATAAATTAATCTTGACATCTGATTACAAAGATCATAATGTTCATATTTTTTAAAAAAAAAAAAAATTGGTTTTCCTAATGAATCAATCCATAATGATGTCAAAGTGGATCATGGCGCAGTAACTTGTGTCGCTGTATAAATTGACGTGCTAAATTCTCACCCTTTCTGTTTGATCAAATTCTTGTTATAAATCATGTCAAACCATCGTTTATTAACTGCTGAAAATTGGAATGAAAAATTATCTTTGAATGGAAATTCGTTTCCTATAGATCCTGCTATCAAAGAAATTTTTAAAAGTGACGATCAAAGCCTCGATGATTTTGTACAATGGATTAAAAAAGAAAGTGAAATTCATCAACCGATTTTTTCTTGTGATTCATCACCAATTTTCATATCCTTTGGAAATTTACAAAGATGTTATGATGATTATGAACGTATGATCACATGAATCCTTAATGTATTAATATATTACGTGACTAAGGATTATATTTCGAAAAAACGAAAACGAAAAAAAATCACGGATCAAACCTCAAAAGGGGAAAATGAGGCAACGATAAGTAAGTGGTTTTTTTTTTCTTGAGCATGATGTCATATTACAGTAAATATTATACGAATGTGAAATTAAAACCAATCTAAAAAGTAGATAATGTTGTTGACACCACCTCGAAAGAATCAAATGAGGATCACGTGAAATGGTCTTTAGATCGTGAATTACTTCAAACCTTAAAAAGTTCACTTGAACAAATTACAAAATTTGGCAAAGACTCCGATATCAAAGAATTTTTGTCCAAATTCAATAATTTGATTCGACTTCCACACATTCAGGCAAGTATCCCTTTTTTTTTAAAAAAAAAAAATCGAAATCGAAAACGTTAAGATTTAAAAAACCTATCGATCTTTATCATCGTTATAGCTTCACAAATATTTTGAAGAATTAAAGATTTCTCAAATCGATGACAAAATTTTAGAAATTTTGTGTAACGGCATAGTACAATGTGAGGATATCACGTATCAGAACTATGTTGTCTTCTTCAGGTTTACATTCTTGGAAAAAGTACATAATTGATTTATCTAAATTTCATGATTTTTTTTTTTTTTTTTTTTTTTTATACATTTAAGACAACTAATAATTTTCATTTGTAGGTACGTTTAATCACATCGAAACCTTCACGTGGATTGTTATCTATCCTTTCAAAAATTGCAAAGGTAAAGAGCAAACCAATTATTTATGGACTGTTATTACCCTTAATCCAAGAACCTCGAGAGATAGCCCGACCCCAATTGGAAGTTATTACTCGAATAATTAATGGAGGATTGAGTGAAGATTCCATCGTATCTTTAATAACGTAAGATATACTAGTAATTTTTCAAGTTTACGATAATTAACTCATTATGTTTTATACGAAAAAAAAAAAAATGTCTTCTAGAGAATTATCCTCTGATGTCCAAATGCTTAGTGAGCTTAATGGTGAAACTCGTCCTAAACATCTTGAAAATTGGGAAGATTCAATGATTGAAATCTTATTTTCGATCTTTAGTCAAAAATTTCGAATTGAAGATCCAAATATTTTTAAGAGATTCTTATATCATTTAAAAGTTAACATTGAACTTCAACCTAATAATCAGAAATTAGGTCAGATATTATTGTTACTTGTCACTAAACATTCTGAATGTATTATGGATCATTTAGAAGAAGTCAAAGTTGCCGCAGAAAAGTCAACGGCATTTATGAAAAAGAGCGTTCTTGGAAAGATAGATTCATTAATAAAGAGGCGCGTATCCCAAAAATAACGGAAAAGAACTCGGATAGTTTCATTTTTATTCCATTTGATCAAGTTTTATAAAACTTTGCTTATGATTTCATAATCATAGTCTTTAGCTTCTTCGGGTAATAAAACTTTACTTGGTGAAATTTCATCTATTTGATAACTATAAGAGAATAAAAAAGAAAAAATTATTCCTTTTTTTTTTTTTTTCCAAGAACACGGATAATACATTTAAAATAAAATAAATACCCAAGGTGATTCAAATAAAAATCAATTGCGCTTTTATTAGTTTTATTTTCTTTTGTATCTTTAAATATATATATGTGAAAAAAAAAAAAAAAGATATAAAAGTTTAGTTATCGAGTAAACAGCCTTTAAAGATTATATACATACCAATTGCGGTTAGTATAAGTTTCTTCATTTTCCAATGCCTTCCGATTTCTTCCAATGTTCTCATTAAAAATGTGCCTAGGCCTTTGTTTCTCGCAATTTCAGATAATTGAATTTCATAACTATTGTGTAAAAAAACCACCCATTTAGCCAATGATTCAAAATAATCCCAAGAAATTGAATACGTACCAATAGATAACTTCAATTTCTTCATCATCATCTGACATAGTTTCTTCCCAACTGAATTGAAACATAACAAATCCAATTGGCTTGCCATTATTTAATGCGATCAAATATCTACAATCTTTATCGCTCATTTCTTTACGTTTCTCTTTTTCATTCCATCCTAAATTTGAATTTTCATAACTTTATAAAGGAGAATGCTTGTCTTTGATTCAATTTTTTAAAAAAAACGTGTGGTTTTATTTGTCCGTAAACATACGTCTTTTTCATATTTAATTTCAATAATTCAAAAGTCCATTCTCTTAATTCGGTAGATAAATTTTCAAATGAATAATATTCAATTTCTATAATCATGCTTTTAAAAAAAAATTAAACAAGGCAAATGAATAAACTTATAAGGAATAATATGTTTAAAAAAAAATATATATTATTTACTCAGTGTTATGATATTTAATTGAAGAGCCGAGGAAATCAACAATTTTAATTGCCTTCGATTAGTTTAAATATGATATTTTCGCGTGTGTAAAATGCAAACATTGATATCCATTCATTTTTTTAATTTTTTAAATAACCATTTGGGCACAAAAGTTTGTTAATGAAAAACACACCTCATTCGCTATTTTAACGAGGTTTTGAGTATTCGCTTGAGGATTCATATTTATTTAAGTGTTAGATGTGAAGATACGGAATCTTACTATTTTATAGAATTATTTCAACTAAGCCACTAACCAAATTAGGCCATAAACACGGTTTTTCAATATAAAAATATAAATGTTTAGGGATTTTTTTTTTTTTTTTTAAATTATCCCAAAATAAGTTTACAGGACGTGAAAAGGGCAATGATTCAGAATTCACGTTCGTAGAAACTTTTGTAATTTTTTTTTTTTTTTTGAGAACGATTTGAAAGAGAATCCTAATTTGGATTTATGTTAGCGTTATCAAATTGGACATTCCTTGCAAAGAATTACGTACGACTATGAGTGAACTACATACAGAGACTTCAATCGTTCATATTATTATTTAGAGGATTTTATATGCTGAACTTTCCATAATTAACCAGAGAATAATTTGAATTCTGATCGATAATTTTCTTGGCTAAATTTTCCATGATCAAATTTTGATTTTTATGGTTTATTCCACTTTGATTGACTGCTTAATTTTTTGACAATCTGAATCTAAAACACTAATGATCTAATATTACAAATGACAAATCTTATTTATTCTAATTGTCAAGTAAAAAATATTTATTTAAATAAAAAAAATTACAATTTGAAAAAAAAGATTTTTTTGCATGTTCATTAATTGTATTTACATGATTTTTACTGAGATTTATTTTCAACAGATCTCCTTTTTAGGCTTGTTAAACTAGTTTTAATACATCAATATTTCTTTTGATCTCATCTTAAAGGTATTTTAACAAATATGACATTTAAATTAGCATCTTTGCAAAATAATACCATTAGTCAAATACAATCAACTCTTGTTATAACGAACTTTATGTCCTAGACCTCAACTTCGCTATAAGGCTATAGTGAAGATTTTAAGAGATTTGATTGGCCAATTTGCTATAATAAGAGTATTTTTATTATATTTGTTTGAAAAATTCGTTATATCAAAAGTTGATTGTAATTAGTACAATTGCAATATAAATAATCACATAGGATAGTAATATTGGGTTTTCTAGAAGAAACAAAGTCCCTTGAAAAGTGATAATCTATTATTTCATAATCTAATACAAGTAAATATATATTTTAATATTATAAGATGAAGACTTAATTAAAGAAAACTGATATCAGGCTTAATATATTCTTATAAATATGCTTAAAAATGTATAGCGCACTTTTAGAAAACATGAATAATTACTTTAATATATAGGTTCAATAAAAAATTTGATATAAAAATTTCATAAAATACTAAGTTTTATAACATATTTTTTCCTTAAGTAAAAATCTTAAACTTAATACAGAAAAATCATATACAAAAAATGAGAAAAAAACGTATATTTTATAATACTTTAACAGATGCAAAAATCAAGGAAAAAACATATATTTATAATGCTTTAACAGATGCAAAAATCAAGAAAAAACATATATTTTATAATGCTTTAATAGATACAAATATTACAAATAAAATGTATATTTATAATGTTTTAACAAATGCAAAAACATAGATAAAACATATATTTTATATTGCTTTAACAGATACAAAAACATGGATAAAACATATATTTTATAATGCTTTAACAGATACAAAAATATGGATAAAACATATATTTTATATAATACTTTAATTAAACAATTTAGATTTTTTAATATAATAAAAATTAAAAAAAAATAGAAATTAAAAAAAATTTAAAAAATCAATATTTTTTAAATTTTTTCCTTTTTATATTTTTTATACTTCTTATTCTTTTCTGTAATATTTCTTTCGATATAAATTAATCAAAATAAATATAAAAAAATAAGTATTATAAATTTGTAAAAAAAAAAAAAAAAAAAAAAATTTTTATTTTTTTTATTTTTATTAATTGAATCTTCATTTTTTTTTCTTTAATATTTGTTAATATAAAGTTAATATAAAATTATCATTTATATAGTAAATTAATAAGAGTTTTAATTTACTTAAATTTTTATTATAAGATAAATTAAATTTTATGTTGAGATTGAAGGTAATGCTAAAAGTGATGCTGGTTTTACTAGCTTTGTCATTGATGTTGGTTTCACTTTCATTTTTTTTTGTTTTTAATATTAATTAGCATAAAATTAAATTTAAGAATTTTTATTAATTATTATGTATTAAAAATAAAAATTTAAAAATTATCTAAATAATCTCTTAAAAGTCTTGCTTTCTTATTAACATTGAAGGTGATACTGACTTTGGTATTAACTTTAGTTTTGACATTGATATTAATATTAGTATTAGCATAAGCTTTAACATTGACATTAGCATTGATGCTGACATTAGTATTGGCATTAGCATTAACTTTAGAGCTAGCATACGTTAGCATTAGCATTAACATTAGTTTTAGTAGCATTGGTATTAATATTAGCTTTAGTATTAGTAGTAGTATTAGTAGTATTAGAGATTCTTTAATATATACCCTATGTGTATAATCTTATGATACATGTCACCTAGTATCATACTCTTTTGCATTTTGTTTTTATTATATATTCTGAGGACTTAGAATTTTTTTACTTATAAAAATTCTAATTGTCACATACTTTATATCATCCCTATATTTTTTAATGCTAACTAAAATCTATAATGCCGGTCAACATGTACATTAAAGACTGTATACATAGGATGTATATTAAGGAATCTTGTAATACTAGTATTAGCATTGATATTGACATTGATGGTGATAGTGGCATTAGCATTGACATTGATGACATTTTCTTTTTAATAAATAAATAAAATTTAGATATTTTATTTAGATTTTAATTAGAATATTAAAAAATAAAATCTTTGATACTTAATTCTTTATTTGCTTTTTTGAAGTCATTTATCTTTGCAAATATTATAATCATATTTATGTTACAAATATTTTTTTATATATTCTTTTATTAGCCAACTATCTTCCCCTACTTATATATTTTTATTTCTTTTTTGAACTATTAAAAAAATTCAAAATAATAATTAAACTTTTTTAATTATTAAATAATTATATATAATACAGTCAAAATTCTCTATAACAAATTTTTTGTATTTCAAATTTTATATTATTGCGAATCACATAAGTAATACAAAATTTTATTAAATAAAATAATTAAATACAATGAATTTTTATAGTAAATTTTACTATTATGTACAATGATCTGAAAATCTATACAAGTATAATAAAATGAAGCTTTTATTAACGAATTTTTTTATAATGAATTTTTATGATAAATATAACAAATTTGTTTTAGCAAATTTTTATATTAAATTTAAGGAATACAATGAAATTTTTTTGATTGTCATTAATAGAAATTATAAAATCAAACAATTATGTGAATTTTTTTGATAATCAATTATTTTATTTGAAATGTTTAAAGAAAAAAAAAAAAAAATTTTCATAAAGGTAAAGAGAAAACTTCTGATATAAAATAAACTAGGGTCTCTCTTACAAGTATTCAAAAACAAGAAGTTTGCCAAAAAAAGTTGCAAAAATCAGCACCTAAAAATAAAGAACTTGTTAAAGAGTTTGGCGTTTTAGAAGAAATGATATGTGATATCTTAAAAAAAAGTAAAAGATAATTAGCTCTAAAATTAGATTCTTATAAAGCTTCACTTAAAAGACAAATTATTCATAAATTGATGAAGCTTTGGACTTTTGAGTCGATAAAGCCATAGATAATAATATTATTATTAATAGCGAATTATTAGTATAAAAAGTATGTGATTTCATAATATTATTTAATATACAGGACTTTAAAGGGTTTAATGGATAAGTAGCAGGTTTTAAAAATGGCATAATCTTGAATGCTACGTTAAACATGAGAGGCAGCAAGTGTTTTTTTGGATTTAGATAATATGCATGCATATAGATCTTTAAAATATTCTTAAAGAATATTTATCTGATGATATCTTTATTATAAATAAAATTGAGCTTTATTGAAGAATGGAATCAAATCGTACTTTATCAACTGATCCAAGTAATTTACATATTGATTAATATAAAATTAATATAAATAATTATATAAATGAAAATAATACTTATCTTATAATAATTGTAGGTAAAAAATGATCTAAAAAGTATGCTACTATTGCAGTATGTTGTAATACTATAAGAACTAAAAAAGTAAAAGCAATTTTTATTGGAAAAAGCTAAAATCTGCGTACTTTAATACATATTCCAAAATCAATACTATCAGTATAATATTATTATGATCAGTTCTTTAAGATGCTTAAAAATAATAAGTAAAGCAATATTTATTAGTAGTAAGCAGAAGGTTTATTTTGTAATTAGTTTTAAAAGAGTGTCAGTAAATTAACAGTTTATTTAATAATGATAACAATGAAATACTACTTTAGTCAGCATTCTGTACTATACAAATATGTTAAGAGAATTAAACTAAACTATTTTATAAAACTATCTATCTAATATATTACTAAGCTAAAAGAAAATATTCTCAATTTATATAAAATAAAATACATAAAGTTATCAAAGATATAAAAGAAATAAATATTATATATGAAATAAATAAAATATAATAAATATATAATATAAATAAAATAAAATAAATAAATAAAATATATTGTATAAAAGAAATATATGTTATAGATGACATAGAAAATGGATAAGATATATATGATTTCTTAGAGATCAACATCATTCTTTTAATCATCATCATCTATGTCTTCTCTATATAATAATATTATTAAAATAAAACAGCATATATGTAAGTTAGTATTTGGAATAATTGGCTAAAACTCTTTGATTCACATCTGAGACTTCAGAATAAACATATAATTTTATTTTATGATGGCGCATCCACTTACAAATTAAATAAAGATACTATACTTTTTAATATTCATTTTCACAAGTTACCTCCTAATATAACTTCCTATCTCTAACTATATAATGCTAAAATTATTCATAGCTTTAAAGTAAGTAACAAAAAAATTATTATAAATAATAATAAAAAAATAATACTAATAATATAATAAATATAAA